CTGGACCTATTGTGTCTGAAGCAAGACCAATTCTAGACTTCTCAGCGCCTTAGGCCAAAAATTCCTTTTTTGTTTATTGATCCAAGAAAAAAAAACTAATTAAATTGGTGAAAGTTTGTTTTTTGTTATTTGCAAGAGAAGAGCCCTGGCCTCTACAGGGAGCTAATGTAGGTTGGGAAATTATGGAAGACCTCTCTGAGGAAGGGACATTTAAGCTGACATTTGGAGAATGAATAGGAACCAGCCAAACAAAGATCAGGAAAGGAGATGGGTTGTGCAGGGGGAGTATTCCAGGATGGTGGGTGATGAGAGCCCCAAGGCAGGCAGGAATGAAAGCTGTCTGTTGACATTGAAATATGATGAATGAGGTGAAGAGTGGTGTGAGTTGAAGCCAAGAGGTGTCTGGGGCCATCATAGGGGCCTTGGAAGTATCAGGGAGGATTTTTAATGATATTATGAAGGCAATGGAAAGCCATCTATGGATTTTAAGCAGGAAAGTGATATGACCTAGCATATTTTTCTAAAAGATCACTTTGGGTATTAGATGGTTAATGGATTGTGGTGTGTGTGTGTGTGTGTGTGTGTTTCTGTGTGTGCATGTCTGTGTCTGGGGGGAGTATTGTGAAAGTGGGGGAGATCAGGGGTCCAGATGGGAAATGATAGTTGTTTGGACATGAGTAGATGATAGAAGTAGATGAAACTGAGATATATTTTGGAGGTATAATCAACAGGATTTGGTGGCAGATTGTCTGTGGGGGTGAGGAAGAAGGAGGCAACAAGAATAACTCCTAGGTTTTTGGCTTGAGCAATGCTAGGATGCAGGTGCTGTTTGCTGAGATGTGGAAGACTGGAGCAGAAGATAACTGAAGAAGTACCTGTGGTCAGAGGCAGCTGGGCCTGATGCTAGATGCTTCTTGGCCGAGTATCAGCAATGTTCTCTGCCACAGTTAGATGCTAATATGTCTTGAATGTGCTGGACAAGCAGTTTACTGCGGCACACTGAAACTGTTTTTCTATGAGAACGAAGTAAGGACAGCATTGTATTCGCTTTATTTTTCTCTGCAGATAATGAGGTTGTTGTAAATTCCCTCAAAGCAAAAGCACAGTCCCAGCAAAGAGCTGGATCAGCTGGATCGTGGTGTTAATGGCCACACTGCCCTGGAGCCATATTCAAGGGACAGTTAAGAGTACCCCTTGCTGGGGAGTTTAAAGAGTCCTCCATCCTCCAGCCTCACATGGGGCATTTGACCAGATGGGCTCTGTGGTCCTTCCAACCTGGGGGTTCTGTGATTCAACAGGTCAGCCAGTGAGAAGGCTAACAGAAAGCAAAAGCTGGAAAGGATGAAGGAGGCCCCAGGGATGAAACAAGTTACTAAGTAGTCTTTAAGAATTCATTCATGTCCTCAAAGTAAGGAATTTACTGCCTCAGGTGGTCTGGACTTTTGAGCCATTTCTGCAGGCTTATTGTCTTCCCAGGATCAAAATATGAATACACAAATGAAGGTTAATGTTTTGCAGTAGCATAACATTTTTGGAGTCTATGTTTAGGGTGAAGCCGAGGAAGAATATAAAGTTTATTGCTGTCAGAACTTAAAAGTGGAAGTTAGCTGTAGAACCATAGTCTGAATACTTACTCTGTCGTTTACCAGATGTGTGATCTTTAACAAATGATTTAACTTCTCTTGGCCTCACTTTCCCCATATGTAAAATAGAGGACGTTGTAGATCTTGCCCCATATGATTGTTGTGAGGACCAACTGAAATTATGGATCCTGGCATGGAGTTAAGTGCTCAATAAACATTAGCCTATGAGCAATTGGAGCTCATATGAGCCGTTTTATAAACATTTTAGAAAATATAGAAAAGTTTGAGAAAAGTATTTTTATCACTTAGAGAGAACAGAGTTAACATCTTAAGGCTTTTTTTCTTTTTTCTTTTTGTTTTGTACATTTGTGCTACATAGTTAGGATTATATTGAATTTCATATTCTGTTGCAATGGTCTGCTTGGGCTGTTATAACAAAATACCATAGACTGAGTGGCTTAAACAACAGACATTTATTTCTCACAGTTCTAGAGGCTGGGAAATCCAAGATCAAGGTCTGGCAGATTTGGTCACTGGGAGAGCCACCTTCTCCTTGTGTCTTCATATGGCCTTTCCTTGGTGTGTATATTCCTGGAGAGAGAGGAGAAGGAAAGAAAGAGATCCATCTTTCTCTCTTCCTTATCTCATGAAAGTACTAATCCCATCATGAGGGTCCCACCCTTCTGACCTCATATAAACCTAATCACCAGCTAAAGGCTCCACCTCAAATACCATCATACTGGGGGCTAGGACTTCAACTTGAGAGTTTTGGGGGGACACATTCAGCCCATAATACCTGCTTTTTGTCTCAATATTATTAGACCACTAACATTCTTCCTATTGCTTTTTGTTATTGTTTCCCCAATAAGGGTTTTATTATTTTTTAATGACAAAATGTGAGTGGTGGAGTTGCTCTTACCGTAGATATTTTTCTATTGCACAATACGATAGAGAGAGGATGGAACTGGACTCATACAAACCTGTTTTCATAGTTTGTTTCTGCAAAGGCAAGTTACTTAACCTGTAGCAGTCTCTATACAACAGATACGATAGGCCTCCTCACGGGGCTGTGGTGGGGCTTAACTAAGATAATGTATGTTGCAATCACTATGTTAATAATATTCCAGTTATTAGACACTGATTTTCCATCTCCAGCAATTCTGTTGCATAAGATTTTGTAAATGAGGTGCATGAAGGACACAAAATGCAATGGTGAAATTCATCCATGGGCTGAGTCACAAAAAATGTCAAATTTTGTGCTTAAACTTGAATACTCAAAGGAGATGGGTATTGGAGGATGGTGTCCTCAGTGCCTCTGCTTTCTTCCCTCAGAAGAATGTGTATGTGTATATGTATTCCATGTTGGGACACTCATTACACAGCATTGCTATTGTCTGCTGAATTGCTCCATCACTAGATGCACTCCCTTTGAGGAAGGGGCCTGCAAGTATCTCACTTACACTTAAATGTCCAGGGCTCAGCACAGGTCTCGGTTCAGAGAAGGCTCCCAATAAAGACATGCTGAGTGAATGACTGGATGGTTGGATGAATGGATGAATTAACATTGTCATGGAGAGGGGGTAGAAAAACACAGTATTTGTCACCTTAACAGGATTTCTATTCTCCTTCTATGTCCTGAGCAAGAAGAATGATTGGAAGCAATAAAACAATAACTAAAAAAAATAATGAAGGCCCAACAGAATTTAATAAAGTCGATGCACGCTGTCATCTTTCCAGGGGCTGAGGAAATTAGAAGTCATGTTTGAGTCATGTACAGGATATGATGGCAGTCTCCAGGGCTCTGTTTATCAGCTTGGCTTTGGTAGAAAGTTTTTGTCATGATCTTTGTGAGAAGTCATGTAACCAAACCATCAAAAGTGTCAAGATAAAACCAGAAACTTACTAACCATGATTATAATTGCTTTAGCTTGTTTGTAAGTTTGAGGAAATTAAACACGTTATTAACAATGTATGCAAGAGTTCCATATAAGCAAGAGTACAGGGCAAGTTAGGAACCTGCCTAGTACCTAACTATCTGCTTTACAGAATGTCAGAAGTGTAAGGGAGATTGGGGTCTCTCTGAGGTGCCAGTCCCAACACTCCCCACTATTGGTTCTGAAACAGTTGAGTCAAAGAGAAGGACATCAAAATCTCAGATCTAGACTGGAGAAAGTCACCTCAATATGAAGCCAAATTGGCTTCCTCCCACTTACCTACCCAGTCACAGGCAAGATCAATGAAGCAAGTAGCCTCCTCCCCTGCATCCCCGGAAGAGCCACCCCTGTCACAGAGGAGAAGGAGAAGAATGCTCACAGATTAAAAAATGGGAAACAAAGGCAGGCCATGTGGCAACAGCAACTTGAGTACCTTACTCCTGGCCAGTACAGGATTGTGAGCTAATGGAGTTTAAACTTTTGGCAAACCATCAATCACTCGTATGTTAGTAAGGGGTGGAAAGACCAGAAATTTTGCTCTAGCAGAATGTTCTAGCTGTTTACTGCTGCTTAACAAACCACTCCACACTGCAGTATTTTTTTTTTTTTAAGATTTTATCTATTTGACAGAGACACAGCGAGAGAGGGAACACAAGCAGGGGGAGCGGGAGAGGGAGAAGCAGGCTTCCTGCTGAGCAGGGAGCCCGATGCGGGGCTCGATCCCAGGACCCTGGGATCATGACCTGAGCCGAAGGCAGACGCCCAACGACTGAGCCACCCAGGTGCCCCAGTATTTTTTTTTTTTAAAGATTTTATTTATTCATTTGAGACACAGAGATAGAGAGAGAGAGAGAGCACGAGCAGGGGGAGAGGCAGAGGGAGAGGGAGAGGGAGAGGCAGGCTCCCCCCTGAGTCAGGAGCCCAATGTGGGGCTCGATCCCAGACCCTGGATCATGACCTGAGCTGAAGGCAGACACTTAACCATCTGAGCCACCCAGGCACCCCGGCAGTATTTTTTTCTTACAGTTCTGTCTGTTGACTCTCAGCTGGGTGGTTCTTGCTTAGGGTCCTTCAGGTGGCTATTGTCAGAGATAGCTGCTGGCATTGGAATTATCTGAGGACTTCTTCATGTCTGGCGCCTGGGCCAGATGACTGGCCAGCTGGAAACTGGCTGGGACATTTCTCCTCCACTGCCTTCTCTACTTTTGTAGCTTGGGCTTCCTCAAAGCATGGAGGGCAGAATAACCAGATACTTCATTGCACATGGCTTCCCCCATGGCAAGTTTTCCAAGAAACCTCGGTGAAAACTGCAAGGTTTCCTATGACCTAGCTTTGCAAGTCCTAGAACATGACTTCTGCTATATTCTATGGTCATGCAAGTGACCAAGCCCAGCTCAGATTCAAGGCGAGGGGAACTAGATTCTGCCTCTCAGTGAGAAGAATAGCTACGTATTTGTGACCATCTTTAATTTTTACTTCTCAGAAGTTCCTTCATGGAAACATGAGAGCAGGGAAATGGCAGCTAACAATTACTGAAATACTCTATGTCAAGGGTACATGGCAAGCATCACTGCTCATTCTCACAAAGACCCTGTAAGGTAAGTGTTACTATCCCCATTTTACTAGTGAGGAAGCTGAGGCCCAGAGATATTAAGTGACTTGTTTATCAATTGGTGGCAGAATGAAAGATCAAACCCAGTTATGCCTGATTCCGAAGTTTTTGTTCCTTCTGCTACATTACACTATCATACATCTATTTTGAATCTCTCATTTTATGGAGGAGAAAAGTAAGGGCACCTTAAATGCCTGTGAGCTGGTAGATTCTCTTTTTTCTTTTCTTTTTTTCAAGATTTATTTATTTATTTTTAGAGCGAGGCCGAGAGAAAGTGTGAGCAGGGGGAGGGGCAGAGGGAGAAGGAGAGAATTCTCAAGCAGACTCCCTTCTGAGTGCAGAGCCTGACAAAGGGCTCAATCTCATAACTCTGAGATCATGACCTAAGCCGAAATCAAAAGTCAGACGTTCAACCAACTGAGCCATCCAGGCACTCCGAACTGGTAGATTTTAAAATAATCACTTTTATGACAGTTTCCCTGGCCCAGTATTTGCTCTTGTCTAAAATTAGTGAGTTGATATTGAGCAAAGCCCATATTCTACCTTATTAAATGTGCTATAAGATGGGAAAGACTACTTTCAACCCAGAGCTCATCAAGAGGGCTTTTCCAATGGCAGAACCAAGGAGGAGGGCCTACCATGGTATCACATTGCTGGAGGATGGGATTTCATAGAAGCCCCTCCCTCACCATGTTGCCAGGGTTCCCACTTAGAATCCTAAGTCTCTCTCACTGTGTCTTGGAATCAAATCCAAAATCCTTATGTTTACTATAGTTCTACATCAGTGGTTCTTAACTCTACAACACCCACTTTTAATAATAAACATTTTAACTATCTTTTTTTTAAAAAATCCTGAAATGGAAATCATACTACTGACCCATGAAACTCAAAGATAAGCATAGAGGAGAAGTAAAAGGAAGGTCTTTATAACAAAATAATATGAATTTTAATAAATAGATACTGCAACACATCTACATTTTAAGATGTACACAATTAGTGGTTCTCAAACTGTGATGAAGAGCCAGTTTAAAAAAGATGTTTTATCTACTACAAACTGATACTTTTGTAAAATATAATAAAACTGTTGCTATAACAAGCAATTGGGACAAAGTTTCCCAGAAGGTTACTCTTACTTTTTGTACTTAACTGACAAAGGACTGGTAAGTTTGTAGATGAGTTCTGGGGGATGGACCCCACTTTGAATAGCACTGCATTAGATGAGTTAATGCTCACAACCCTATCAGGTAGGTATTATTCAGAGTTCCCATATTACAGGCCAAGGGACTGAGGCACTGAGGGGTTCTGTAGCTGCCCAGAGCTCCGATCCAGATTTTGGCACAGCCGATGCAGCCCTCTTGGCTGTGATGGATACAGAATAAGATTCACAGAACCCCTAGAACATGCACAGTCCATTGGAAGAAACAGATAAATAATAGGTTAATTATTTTTTTATCTTGATAAAATTTTTATCATTGAGTAAAAATTTAGGGACAAGATTCTCACCCCACTGGAGTTGTGCTCAGCTCCAAAATTCTTCTCTGGCCAGCTTTTCAGGATTCTCTCATTTTATCTCTGCATGAACAGCACAAGTCTTGAAACCATCCAAACCTCCAGTTCCCCATTCTGAATCTTCACCAGCCTTCATTTTGAAGAGGCCTGGGGGATGCGGGCAATCACATTTCTTATGCCCAAGTTCAACATCTTTTCGAGCAACACGTGCACCCCTCCTGAAGGAGTGTGGAGAGGACATGATGAGGGCTTAATTGGCGCATCTGTTCCCATGTCTGCTCGTGAGCAGCCTGTGATCACAAACAACTCATTTAGGGGCACGTCAGTCTCTCCCCAAGAGGTACCACCCCCACACCATTTGTGGACCACACACTCTGGCGTGTGAATCACCTCCTAGGATGAGTGACTATTGACTCACTGCTTCAGAGAGCTTCCTATTAAAGCCTCAGTTGCCCTACAGCCTTGGAAAGAGAGCAAAACAACTTCTGAAGGAAATGAACACCGTCCCTTTGTTAGCTGTGAGGCCATTGCAGCTGCAAATGGGCCTCACTTCCCATCGGCAACAGCATCCAAGCTTCTGCAGGCTCTTGAGGCCCTCGCCTACCACAGTTCAAGGGGCAGCTTCCCGAGTCTGTCCAGCAGTGCCCCTCAGAGGTTCTGAGACTAATTATTTAAGAGAGACATTTATTGAGCACTTATTATATGCCAGGCACTGTATGAAACAATCTACATATACTATTTAATTTTATTCTCAAAGCGAACAATCATAGGAGGTCAATGTTATTATGATTTCTACTTCGTAATTGATTTAAACTGAGGCACAGAGTAGTTAAGAGCCTGTCAAAAGGCAGAGAGCTGGAATGTGGAAGAACCAAAGCAATTTGGCCCCAGAGTGCTTGCTCTCAAGTGCTGAGCCTTAGCCAACATTCAGCGTTGGTGCAGGGACCTCATCATCCACAGGAGCATTCTTCCACATTTATTGAATGTCTGCATTGGCCTCACTCAAGCTACAGAGTGATGCAAAGAGCATGCATCACACCTGGTCTAAGGGCCTTGACCTTCATAACATCACATCAGTATGCTCACCTAGTGTTGGGATCCAACATCTCCTCACAGAGGCTGGGGAAAGAACCAAGGAGATAGCGTGTCAAAAACACCCCATACAGGCCTGGCCTATGGTAGATACCCAACACATATTAGTCACCCATCCTCCCCTAAGACACGCATGAGAAACTCAAAGAATGTGTACTTGTGTGAACAACATAGACAAGGAATGAAAACTTAACACAGTGATCAGAACTCTAATGGAAGCACGTTAGATTTTAGGATAATGCGAATGGGAATTGTGATGAGATTGCAATTTTATGTGTCTTATCTAATTTAGCCCTAACAATCCTATGAATTTGGTATCATTTTGCCCACTTAATAGGTGAAGACATTCTGTATACATGGTCCAAAGAAGAAAGTATTCTCTGTGAAAGGTGGAATTTTGGGATGCGTGATTGTAGCCATTGTTTACTGAGCATCTACTGTGTGTCAGGTATGTTAATACAGCCCACTGAGATCCCACAGTAGGAATTACTACTCACAGTTTATAATGAGGAAACTGAAGCTAAGGAAGATTAGGAGGCCTGCCCAAGGACAGAAATCTAACATGTCTCAAAAATTGTTTTGTGGTACAGTATGATCTTATTGATGCTGACCTTGCAATGTGAAAGTCAAATTGGATATAAGCAGGTTTGGTATCATTTTGAAGTTTGTTTCAAGGTCTGCCCTTTAAGCCATTTTATTTTATTTAGTTCTCCAGATGTGCCATGACAAAAATAACATTCAAGTATTTCTGGGTTTCTTCTGGAAAACAGGTTTGAGAGTAAAGATGGCAGCTGAACACTTCTGTGAACTCAAAGGCCAAGAGATTGACAATGAGTGAAATGGATCATGAGCCACATTTGGTGCATCAACCAGATCAACTCAGGCACAAAGAGAAGGTGTGGGTTTGGTGGAGTGATGAGAGGTTCTACCCTTTCAATTGGTTTGCCAGTCTTGGTCTGAATTCCTCACTAATCTCTGAATAACAGAATAGGAATAAAGAGAGTTTTCAAATTTTCCGAGTCGCACTGCCCAGCTTTGGTCTACCCTAAGTATGGACCCCTCCAGCACAGTGATACACAAGCTTGTGAACATGTTTGACCCAGACAAAATCCAGAAATTGGTTCGAGTTAAAGTTCTGGTAAATCCAGTATATGGCTGAGATTTTGTGCCACCAAATATATTTGCTACCCAGCCTATGACATGTTTCTATGTGGGCAGCAGTTTGAGACATTCAGCAAAGCTAAACATGAGACTTGGTGCTGTTACCAGGTTGGACTGCCTACAGAAAAATGGTTCACAGCCATGGAAAAGGATGGGTGGATTTGGTGAAATAATTTTTCTTTCTGTTTTACTTATCGTCTAATAGACCAAACATTTATGAGAAAGGACTCTTGGGATACCCTCCCACTGTATGTTTGAGAGCCTGGATTTGGACCCAGTTCTGTCTGACTCTAAATGCCTGTGTTCATCTTACGTAGTTATGCTGTTCTCTGGCAATGTGACATTTAAGTCAAGTTGTGACAAATGAGAAGACGTTTTCCCAGATGGATTGAGATTCAAGGGGTATTATAAGCCAAGGGAACAGCACATGTATGAACAAGGCCCTAAACTGTGGGCTGAACTGCCAAGACAATGTAAGGTTACACAGATAATGTGAGGGAAGGCTTGCTATCAGAAGTGTTTGAATGCATTGAAATATGTCACTTGCCATTTATTCATTCATTTGGTAATTCAACAAATGTGTATTGAGTACTTCCTATATGTCAGGTAACATTAGAATGAGAATTGGATTAGAATTGGAAATTACTAGAGACCTTTGTCAAAATATCACTGCTTCTTATATCAAGAATTTCTTCTTCTCCTTTAAAACAAACAAGTCTATAAAATTTTGTCTCATTGACAAACTAGCAGCAAAAGTCTTCTTTGAATGAAGTCAGTGTTTGAGTGAAATAAACCATGAATATTTATGATAGATTAAAGGCAAGCACATAAAATAAAGATAAATGGAAAGAAATCACAATACCAGCCTAAAGTGTAGGCTCTGCATCTCCCTCACTCAGGCCAGCTGCCTCTCAGCAGCCCCAGAAGGGGTGGAGTCAAGAAGGTGTCAGGGGTGGGTGGTACCATTCATGGGATTTCCCTGTGAGCCTTGGGCACCTCCTTTCCCGCCATGCTTCTGGACCTACATCTACACCTACACCTTTAGGCAGGGAAGGATCTTGGTTGTCTGATGGTTCAACCTGTTGATTCTGCTGAAGCCCCGAGATGAAAATGACCACTCAAGTTCTCTTAGTCACTTGTATTGACACCTGTCTTTTTATTCTCATTGCCAGGGTCTTACTTCAATGTCTTATCATTTTTTACCTGGGTTATTCCAATAGCCTTCTAACAGCTTGCCCTGCCTACATGTTTGTCTCCTTCCACCCTCCACAGCAGCCCATAAACCATTCAGAAAAGCAATTGCTTTATTTTACTTTGTTCCTCAAAACCATTCAGTGTTTCCATATTGCCTTGGGCTCTGCTTCTCAAACTGTGGTTTGTGACCAGGTCTAGACAGTGCGCAAAACCGTAGGATAAACAAAATCGCTCTAGAATGGTGATTTTAACTTGATGGCTAATAATTACAAATATTATCTTACATGAAAACAAATGAATATATTATAGATCAAGATGAGAAATTTGGGTGACTTTAAAACATTTCAAAGAATTTTCTTGTAGCAGCTGCTGTCAGACCCATAGGAGTAAAAGTGTATTCTTTTCTGCCAGTGAGGGATGTTTTAGTGGGAAAAGTCCATAATGTCTTAGACCATAGGATAAATTCCAAGTATATCCTTGATTTCTCCAGGATCTTTTCATCTGTGGCTTGCCACCCTGTTCTCTTCAATGGTCTTTTGCAACTCTACTCACCAACCATCCCACATCACCATACATAATAGCTACCGTAGCCTTCAGGATTTAGTCAGAATCAAAAACCACTGCAGATATCTCAAACAGGAATGAATACTACACAGGAAATTAGATGCTTGCAAAGCTGTTAGAAGATCTGGGAGAAAAAGGTTAGGAAAACTCCTGCCAGTGTTCAGGGAAGCAGGAAGTACAGGAATCACAGGAAAACTCTCCCTAATGATCTAGCTTATCTGCAGCTGCCAAGTGGGTAATTTTCAAGAGGATGCCTGGAAACTGCAGACACTAGAAAGATGTGTCTATCACCCGCCAAAGACCAAGACAATGGCTTTTGCTTCTCTTCTGCCTTTCAACTATTGCATGTATGGCTCTAATCCAGCCTCTGTGTTACGGGCTAAACTCGGACACCCACCCAATTCACATGTTGAGGTCCTAACCTCCAATACCTCCAATACCTCAGAATGTGGCTATATTTGGAGATAGGATCTTTAAAGAAGAATCATAACATAAAGTGAGGTCTCATGGGTGCTAACTTAATGCAGTATGACTGGTGTCCTTTTATAAGAAGAGATTACGACATGGACCCACAAGGGGAAGGCCATGTGAAGACACAGGGAGAAGGTGGCCAACGCACAAGCCAAGGTGAAAGGCCTCAGAAGAAGCCAATTCTGCTGATACCTTGGGTTCAGTCTTCCAGCTTCCAGGATTGTGAGAAAATAAATTTCTATTGTTTAAAGCACCCAGCCTGAGGTCCTTGTTTAGGGCAGCCCTAGTAAAGTAACATACTCCAGGAGTAGGAATTTTCTAAGACATACTTGCTAGGCTTCCAACCCCCATGTTATAAGGGGAACTTAGAAGGGCAAAAATGGCCCTGAGTTGCCAAGAGACAATCTGGCACAGCTGGCCTGTGCTGGCGCATGCTGAGAATCAGGCACGGATCGAAGCACTTCGCACATGTTATCTCAATTTGATCTTCCTCTCTACCAGTTTAAAGTAATTCTCTCAGCCACACTGTGATATACAGGTAGGAAAATGAGGCTCAGAGAATTTACTTTTCCACGGTCACCCAGCTGGTCTCCGGTAGTGGGAAGCCGGCATTGACCCCTGCAGAGGACCTCTCAGACACTGCAAATGCGCTTTCCTCACTGGTCTACCCAGGGAACATCTGTGGGTCTTTAAGTCTATGTCACTTCCTCTGCTTCTTTTTTATCAGTGATCATACTCTCCCCCCACCCAGGGCCAACCTCCTTCCTCCCCACAGAGCACACCATTTCCTCCTTTACTCCCCCCACGCTGGTATCACGTATGGACTTCCACCTCATACTGAATAGTATCAAAGATTGGGAATGGCCAATAATGGGAGAAGGAATAAGTAAACTATGGTCTATTTACTCAATATAATCTAATGTAATAATAATATAATTATATAGGTCAATATAGGATTATAATGAAGAGCTTATAATTTTTTATTATCTTTTTTATTTTAGCTTTTTATTGTATGTTAATCACCATACATTACATCATTAGTTTTTGATGTAGTGTTGCATGATTCATTGTTTGTGCATAACACCCAGTGCTCCATGCAGAACGTGCCCTCTTTAATACCCATCACCAGGATAACCCATCCTCCCACCCGCCTCCCCTCTAGAATCCTCAATTTGTTTTTCAGAGTCCATCGTCTCTCATGGTACGTCTCCCCCTCCGATTTCCCCCCTTCATTCTTCCCCTCCTGCTACCTTCTTCTTCTTCTTTTTTTTTTTCTTAACATATATTGCATTATTTGTTTCAGAGGTACAGATCTGAGATTCAACAGTCTTGCACAATTCACAGCGCTTACCAGAGC